GAACGTGTAGCCGTTTTAGCGCGCTATTCGAGCGATAAATTGCGCGAGACGGTGGCCCGCCGACGGCTGATTCCACGAGGACGACGACGACGACGACGACGACGACGACGACGACGACGACGACGACGACGACGAAGACGACGACGACGAGGAAACGACGCGCACGCGGACGGCAGCAGCCCGTTAAGTATCACGATAATCACGGTCCACAAAGCGGACGATCCATTTATCTCTTCTCGGAGAATTGTGTTTCGCATATTTCACCGAAATTGGTCCGGATGCGTGGCGTCGCGAGAGCGCGCTCTCGCCGGCGCGACGAAACGAGAAGCATAAGACGAACGGACGGGCGGCAGGCGAAGTTTTAAGGAGTTTCGAACGCGCGAGAGGAGGACCGAGTCCCTCCCTGTGTGAGGAAAGTTCGCGGAGGAACGATGAGAAATTAAGCAGATGCTCGACGTTCAACGCCATAAGAGACACCTCTTTTTCTCTCTTCCTCTCTCGCGCTCTTCCTACGACATGGATCTTTTTTCAACTTCAGTAACAACACAAGTAACTAGATCTTCACCCTCCATCGTGCTTTCGTTCTTAACGCGAGATAACAGAGAGAGAGAGAGAGAGAGAGAGAGAGAGAGAGAGAGAGAGAGAGAGAGAGAGGCCGAGAACCAGGAGGAGAAGGCGGGAAGGAGAGGTCCTTCGGTCGGTACTTTTGCGAGGCAATGCTTCGGGCGTATCCATCCAGAAGAAAGGCGTTCTTCAGCTACAAGACTCCATTATTCTCATTAGACCCCGTAAGAGTACCCTTTTTATGCTTCGTCAGCTAATCTCCCGAAGATCGATAAGCGTCGAAGACGAGACGACGCCGCCGCTTGCGATTATAAACGATTGATTCTCGCGACTGATACGGGGAAAAAGCCGCGAGCCGATCGATCGAGGCGGAATCTTATTTGCGTTCTTTTCCTTCTCGGTTGTTTTTAATCCCCCGAGCATCGTTTCCGAACGTGCGCACGCACGCGCGCGTCACCTTGCCGCCAATTATAGCTCGTGTCTATTTTTATTCCGGTGTCATGTTTTTCTTGTATTTTTTTCGTCGCGAAAGCTTTGATTCGCCGCGCGTTTCGTGCGCTTCCGCGCCGACACGAGCGCGCGCGGCGATACTTCCCTTTGTGTTCGATGTTTGTGAACGAACGGTGCTGTTGACGTTCCTTTGATCACCGCGGTTTTTGACAGGCGGTTGACAATTATCGCCCCCTCCTCTTCTCCACCACCGCTTACTCCACCTCTCCTTCCGGTTATTTCGAACCTTGATAATGATCGCTACGCTAGCAACGGCTACGGCGGGTGGTGTAACGTCAAAGCTGTACGCGCCCGTGAAATTTATCGGACGAATTAAGTTCGAGCTTCCTTGCGCTTCTTTGTTCTTTTTCTCCTTCGCGACACCACACCACGGTCATTCGTTCAATCGAGCCTTGATGGACGAGCGAAAAAACCGATCAATTTATTCGCACCGTTAATTGAGCGGAGCTCGCGCACGACAAAGCGTCATCTCGACACATTTGGACGACAAGATGCGACGCGATATCTCCCTCCGCGACTCGAGAATTTTGCAAGTCGCTCGCGAGAGATCGATGTAAGTAAGAATGATCACGTCAACCTCGTCCTTCGTTCTTTTCTCACGTCGATAACGACTCGTGACGCGCGATCGCGCCTCCGACGACAATTTTCGAACCATAACGGGGCCTCAGACCGCGCAGACTCCCGTTTCTCTGTTCCTTCCAACCTTTTGCCTTCTTACATTTTCTCTCTCTCTCTCTCTCTCTCTCTCTCTCTCTCCTGGCAGAACAAATTTATCGACGACGTATCGTTTCGCCCAATCATCCAATTAAATGCCCACGCGCATCGCCCGACTCATTGCCCGTCTTTGCTGGAAAGAGAGACGAGCGGGAACGACGATGGTCGTTGATTGGGCCGCCCACGTATCTCATCCACGCGCGCTCGTCCCGGACGCGTTGTGGATGATGCGCCCGGCAGATTATTGACGATGAAGTATCGCGCGCTGTCAACCCGCCGCGTGAATTATCGGCGCGGCCTCTCACTCGACCTCTCCGGGGCGAAGGGCGAAGGGGGGAGGGGGGGCGCGAATCGCGGAGGTAGAGTACAATCGTTCTTGCCATCGGCGCGTGAACGGATGTTAGCCGATATCCGCGCGTAACGCGTTCCGTATTGCGGACGATGCGGCGCGATCTGTTCCGTTCGACCCTCTTGCACCCTCGGACCACCCTCGTATGCCACGATCGGATCGCGTGCAACGCGGCAATGCGATTTCTCCGCGCCGATCGCGTCCTCGGTCGCTTGACACGGCCGGCGATTACGAGATTTCCACCGAGTCGTTGGTCCAGAATACCTGCTCCCCCCTCTCTCCCCCCCGGCTTTGATAATAACGCAGACGGGGTGTCGCGCGAACGACCCCGGATTGGCGTAACGCTCGTCCACGCGTATGAGCCGCGCTGGGCTTCGACGAGAGAATGCGACGAATGAAGCAGCGACCCCGCGGCGCGACTGATACCTTTTGAGATTGCGACCGCGATCAACGCTCGTGTTACACGATCGTTTTCGTCAGAGATTCGCGTGACGTGCGATTCGTGATTGCCTTGGGATCAACGGATTTCTGTGTGTACGTCGCTTAATGCAGGTGCGCGTATCTTCGTGAGTTATGCTATCGCGCTGTGTGCTTGCTCTATCATTTTTCGATCATCATTTTTCAACGATCGAGAGGCGCAACTGCCGGACACGGCAGTTTGTAAACGGACAGAATTCAATGAAAGACACTACAAAAAATTTTCAAACTCACCGTTCCGGACGAGTGGCGGCCGAAATCGGTCGATGCTGATGTGATGACTCGTTCTGAACCTGCCGACAGAAATGTTAAAAAACCATTAAACGCACCGGTGATAATACAATCGATGAAAGAAAAAACGATTAATTTTGTGGGAATTATCAATGTTGGAATTAAGATTCATTACAAATTAAAACTGACAAAATTAAAATTATCACTTTTCATTTTATATATTATATTATTTATATTGTATTTTACTTCACATTATTTCTATTATATTTTATTTTATATTATTTATATCATATTAACTATTACTTATTGTTTACTACAGCCTATTTTTATGCTATTTTAATATCACGCATACAAAATTGTTAATACACGTAAAATAGTCACAACGTCTACATTCGTATTTGCTGCGAAAACGGCTTTCCTGATTACCTCTCAATTCTGCGATCATAGTCGCGGGAGCTGAGGACATTTTGCCCCAATATGGGGCTTCGTTCGGATATGAGAAAATCCTCTAGCTGCCGCATATCAACAGCGAGATCTATCGAGGGTGTCGACGGTGCGAGAATGCAGCACCGAGGACGCTTAAAGAGGATGACGTCGCGTCAGACTAAATTACAAAGAAATCGCCTCTCGTTGGAGTTCACCGCAAACACCCTTTCGCGCCACAATGTTCCCGTCGCTCCGACGCATCTTCTTTAAGCAGTTCGGCGATTATGTGTGACAAATCGATACAGCTGCGTACCCCATCTCGCTCTCACTCACCCTCTCTCACTCTTTCTCTCTCTCTCTCTCTCTCTCTCTCTCTCTCTCTCTCTCTCTCTCTCTCTCTCTCTCTCTCTCTCTTTCTCACGAGTACGCGAGAACCCGAAAGCGGAAGGTACTCGAATTGAATTCAAATGAAGCTTTTCACCGCGCGCCTACGCGTGCGTAGTAGTAGTGCTTCGTTTATACATTCATGCAAATCGTCCTCCTCAGGGTTCTCCTGTCATAGAGCCTGTGATAAAACCTTGTTAATTGAAGCTTTCAGCGCAAGACGCGCGCGCGTGTATGTGTGTGTATTTGTAATGAGCGCTGCTCGAGTCGTTATCTCGAGAAACATCTTGGGCTGTCGCATTTCTTGCTTCTCTGGATCTCAGACAAGCAGCGGACGTTAAAATCGCGACCGCGCTATTTGGTAGTCCAAGATAACTAATTTGTTTGGTAACAACTCGACTCGAAATAAAAATTGTATTACGCCGGAAAAATATTTTTAACGTTGAAATGATATCGTATAACTGCGGATCAGGAAAAAAAAATTTTAACGATTGCGGTTTCGCGGGATTTATCAATTGTTCGCGCTCCCTCTCCTCGTTTTCTCGTTACAACCGCGTTGGTTCGCGATCTCTGTTGCAGTGAAAAAACACATACAAGAGAGAGCGGAGAGGATGAAAATTTAATTGTATGTTGTTTAATATGTTTTGCGAGCAAATATAAATTGCGCGTGACTATAAAGCCGATGTGCATTATTTCCTCCTATTCCTCCTGTCCCTCTGCGAGGGCTCGTCGGCATATTTTTTTCTCTTTCCAGCTCACAACGAGAGAGAGAGAGAGAGAGAGAGAGAGAGAGAGAGAGAGAGAGAGAAAGCGATGCTTCGAAAAATATAACTAGGTCGGAGAAGTGTCTCTCGCGCTCTTTGTATATGTCTAACACAAAGCGTCTTTGTGCACAACGAGCATAAAGGGTGCGCCGATGAAAGGTCGCAACACGCGGTGCGCGGCGCGCTTGACATTTACAGATAAATCCAAGGTACATTGCGAAAAAAGGGGAATCGGTAAAAAGAACCGTGTCTCAGGGTTGTCAGGCAAGTTGCGCAAGCTTCGTTTCGCGCGATCCTACGATCGGGTGAAATTGAGGAAACATTGAGTCCCGGATCGACTATTCAAACGTGGGACTTTCAACTCTATCAAATTTAGTCGACTGTAAGCAAACATGTATGCACATTCACAGACACGTGCAATTTTCCCTCTCAATTCGATCAATGTCGACGAAAAAAGAAATATAACAAACTACGTGTACACGTTGACAGCAAGATTCCACTAGAGAGAGAGAGAGAGAGAGAGAGAGAGAGATCAGCCTCGCTAAATGACCGATGTGACAGATGTGACATTTGTGTGTCGCTCGAAAATTAAATATCATGCTCTTCTGATTTGAACAAACTTCACTCTGGAGGACAAGCTAATAATTACCGCAACAATTGGCACAAGATAGATCTATCGCTGCTAAAGAAGCCTGAAATCGTGACGACGGGCAAGGGGGGCAAGGGTCTCCTCCCGCCGCCGGCGAGTCGCACGCGCGCGTCTCAACGGCGCACTTTTGCAGCCGATCTCTCTTTCGCGCGCCGCCAGCAATCGAGGGGTTAACCGGCCGCGTCGGCCGGCCTACGTCGGCGTTTTTTACGGCGGATCTTCCGAGCGTCTTCGTCGGATCATCGGATTGACTTAATTCGCTCGTGCCGGCGGGCATCGGCGGCGAAGCCGCCGCGCGTATAAAAGGAGCGTAGTGGAACGCGATCCGGAGCAGTGTAGCACGACGTATGTGTCCGGTGTCTCGCGGCGACATCCTCTCTCTCTCTCTCTCTCTCTCTCTCTCTCGAACGGGCGAGTGAACAACGAGCGATCGATCTCGCGTAACGCGCCGTTACGTTGCGTTACGTCGTCGCGTACCCGCGTGGTTACGTGTGTATTCGTGGGGATCCGGGGGGGGGGCCCTCCCGACCGTTCCCCGTCGAGCGAGCGAGCTACCTACTAGCGCGGGTGAGATCACGATCGCTCTCGGTCCGCTGGCCCGCGACGCCCTATAAAAGATGTCGCAGCCGGAACAGGGCGGCAGTGCGCAGTGCGAGAAGGACATGTCGACGTCCAAGAGCAGCTCGATGTTGCGTCTGAATCAGGAAGGCCGTCGCGGCTCCGCCGACTGGCAAGACCACGACACCGACTCGGAGGTCAGCGAGAACGACTTCCTCACCAAGGGCGCCTTCCTGCTCACCCCGAGCCATGAGCTGAGCATGGAGAAGGCCGCCACCATTTGCGAGAAGATGAACTTCCGGTGAGAGACATCTGTCCCGAGACGACGGGGGATTTTCCTCCCTGTCTCGTTCTCGTTCGCACTCGTCGTCGTCGTCGTCGTCGTCGTCCGGGGCGATGTTTCTTTCCCGCTTTCGCGACTCTCGTTTGATCGCCCGATGGATTCGTCACGGTCGCGCATCGCCCGGGGAAGGGGAGGGGGAAGGGGAAAAGGATCGCTGTCCGATTGGTAACTATGATGAACGAGCTCGAGCGAGGTGCCGGTGATCGCCGACGTTGCTTTTCTAATTGCTTTAGCCCGCGGCTCACGCCCACCGGTTGTACGAGAGGTTGTAAGAGAGCTCGCGCGCGCGCGCGCGCGCGCGAGAGAGAGAGAGAGAGAGAGAGAGAGAGAGAGAGAGAGAGAGAGAGAGAGAGAATGAGATACGCGCGATTATACCGTGAAGTTCCGGGATATATACCGAGCGCACGGAGGAGAGTTTCTTGAACTCTTAGCGCATCGGGACGTTGTCCCAAGTACGCTGTGTGTCCGAGTGTTTCGCGAGTGTTGTTAATCGCAAAATCGATTATCTCGTAAGAGCGAGGTTCTTAGAAAAGTCCGCTAAATTGTATAGAAAAGATGTAAAAATCTCGCACGTTCACGTGTGGTTAATCATAAACTAGATTAGTCTTATTATCTCATTGTAACACAGTTTGCGAAAAAATTCCGCGGATTCGTGTTGCCACGCAGACTTTCATCCTTTTTCGAACGACAATTCTAAGGTTCTAAGGTTTGCCGAAAAAAAATGTCAATGCAAGAATTTAAATTGACTGCCTCGAAGCGCGCGCGGTGGACGCGGTTTACGAGCCGCCAATTGTCTGCTTTCCGACTCGTTGGATCTTTTCGGGCGACATAACGGCCATTCGTCTCCAAGTGACGGAGAAATTATAATCTCACCGAGAGGCAAGACGAAGCAGCAGTCGCGGAGATTCGCGTCGGGGCTTTATTGTTCCGCCGATTGTTCCGCTCGTGCATCGACCGCGTCGTTTCACGTTGCTTTGTTTGGTGTTTCACGGGAGATCCTAAAGCGTCTCGTGCTGAATCGGATCTAAAAGTAGTTAAGTCAGACGCGGTGCGCCGCGCGACCGGCAGTAGTAGAGGCGGTAACAGGTCAGACGACAAATCCACTAAACACAGCTGTGTCGGACGGCGTGTGCGAACTTTTTTGCGCATCGACGACGAAGCTCGTGTGTACTACTACTACTACTACTACTAGTAGTAGTAGTAGTAGTAGTAGTAGTAGTTAACGTAACGATCAGAGACTCATCCGAGATTAACCCTTTAAGCGGTCAGTGTGTCCCATTTTCTGGACGTTTTTTTTATTGAAAAAGATCACTTACTAATCTCAAACGATTAACGATTAAACGATATAATCACCTATATATAATCACCTGATTAATAATACAATCGACTGAACCTCGTTAAAAAATAAATTATTAGACCAATAGAAAGGATGTCGGTAGCAAATAATTTTTCCTCAGTCTTTGAAACGTTGAAAAATTTATGTGGAAAATTCAAGATAACAGACTTAATTAATTAGTATATTTAATTTTGTTTGTGCGCTTTTGCAATTGCAATTCTCAGTTGTGTCTTTCTGCCCTTGATCGAAAGAAGCTCTAGTCCTTTTAATTTAAGACTGTGTCCAGGAAATGAACGGACTGATCCTTAAGTAAAAACATGTCCGTAAAGTAATGATAGCCTCTAATGGTTAACGTCTAAGTCATGCAAGGAGAGGGCCGACTTTTAATCACAGAATTATTCCGTCGTATATACGGAGACTGCGCGACGAGATTCGCAGCGTCGTTTTTCGCACGTCGCGTCTCAATCCCGTACGCATCCTCTTATCTCTCTTTTAGCGATTTACATAACGACGCCGGATTATACAGTGAAAACGACTCTCTCGTCTGTGTTGTATGATTTAGGGGCGCATTTTCTCTGACGAAAACCGCCACCGGAATTCTCTTCAAGTTCAGCAATATCGACGACTACCAGGCGGTGTTTAAAAAGGGTTTTCACAAAGTGACGGGCGCTCGCTTTTACAAGAAGGTATAGTATAAGAAAAAATAAGGGGGGAAAAGAAACGATCAGACGAAGCAATCCGAATCGAGTTAAACGAACTCAATTTCAGAGTTGTCTACGGCGAGCTAACTGTTGTCTCGTTTCTTTCAGCGAAATTTTCGTGTTCCATGAATGTCCTGTTTGTGTAAAGCAAACGGAACATTTAGTCCAATGAGACGATCATAGAGCTGACGCGATACGTTATTGATCGTGTTTGTCGTCGAGATTTACTGAACCTTCCGCCAGAGATGGAATTACTACTCGCGTTATACGATCTGATTCACTTTTCGGTGATCAAGAGAACGTCTATATCGCGTATACACAGTTACTCGGTTTCGATTTTGTTCACCTTTTGCCGTTTACCAAATAGAATTGAAATTCCTACGTCAGGTTGTCGACCTGGTTGTCGACTCTCCTTAAATTTGCTCCTTCTGCAAAGTTCGCGCGCGATCAAATTTACCTAACCTTGAGACTTGGTCTCCTTCACCCGATTTTTATTTTCCGATGTAGATTTCCCACGTTAGTGTATTTAACGCACTGGCGGAATTTCGCGAGTAGATTTAAGCGGAATTTAGCTCCTGATTCGCGCGATCACGCGAACAGCCCACGGCTTTAACGTCGAAATTTACGTTGGATTTGTTTAACCTCGTTCATTAATTATCGAGCGCGGAAATTATGCGGTAATCGTGCAAATCAACGACCTTTCGATTTCCACGTCGAGCCTGCCGGAAACATTATCGAACGTGATCGTCGATCAAGGTTTAACAGCCTTCCTTTTCCTTTTAATTCTCCACAAGCGCGCCAAAAACGAGCCTGCAAATTCAGAGAGTCACGTGCGTCGACACGTCGCGGTTACAATTATTTAATAGCTCGCTACCGAGGTAGACTTTACATTTAGGTGTTGAATTACGTTACACGGTTGCTCGGCTAACCACGGCGGAGGCAAAGTGCGTGACACAGAGAAATACCTAGCAGTGCTTCTGCAACTAATCTCGGGATCTGTATAGATTTCTACGTCCCGCTGGCACGGGCACACGTTGCAGATACACAACGGCACTTGCAAAGAGCACTTTAGCCGTTCAAAAGACAACAGGAATATCTTGATAGCAATTTGCGCTGCCGACTTGTTTCCACATTCACTTCCCTTTGATTTCATCACCGCGCGGCGTGTTGCGTGACGTTAACCGCTCGAGTCTCGACGTTAAGCGTTACGCTAAAACCGCTGCCACACACAAGAGAATTCCCGCGCTTTATCCTTTCAACCCCCGTGGAAGGACACTGTTGGTGTGTCAAATACGTCTTCAGTTCCGAGTCGGTCTTACCGCGAGTCGTGTTGTCCACCTCGTTGCATTATGAATCAAATTTTACTCGTCGAATAACATCTGCCTCGGGAAGATTTATAGGAGGATTTCGGGATTGTGTTTCGTTTCAGGCTGCGAAAGAAGCATCAAACGGGAAATTCACGTGGCACGGAGGGTGTTGAAGTAATTTTGTCAGAGTAAATCGGATCTTTCCGTACTGAAACTCGCGCGGGCGCTACGAGGCTACCATACTCGAAACCGAAAGAATCTTTTATCGGGCAAGTACTCGAGATATATATATATATATACCCGGAATTGACACCGCTGGTTTACTGCGCGATCGAACGTTGTTCGGCTTCTCCAATGTGAGATTTAAGAAGGGAACATGAGAGTTTTCGTGGGCTGTGCGCGCGAAATCTCAGAACTTGTTACGACTCTCTGTATGGGCGTGTATATTACCGTAATATTTTTCTCACCCTCGCGCTACTCTCCGCGGAATAAGTTTTTATTTTCGTTACGTAGTGAGAAAAAAGAGAGAGAGAGAGAGAGAGAGAGAGAGAGAGAGAGAGAAAGAGAGAGAGAGACAAGAGTGAAAGTATATTATAATTTATAATGCAGGTCGCTATACCGTGTAGACCGGCAAAGATCTTCACCGTCTACGTGCTGGACGTGCCCGAGGAACTGCCGGAGGACGATATTAGGCATGCTCTCTACAAATATCGATCTATCGTCGAAGTAACCAGGCTACCCCTGAATACGGGAACTGTTTGTGAGTCACGAAAATGCAAATGCCTCATCTTCATATTCCTCATATCGTCTTTTCTGCCCCGAACGAGAGAAGCCCCAGCAGCCTCCCCGCAAAATACACATCGTTCAATGCGACTTTTGCACTCTCATCCACCCACTTCACTCTTTCGCTCTTCTCGGTCTCCGCAATTTTTCAAAGCGTCCCTTCACTCGAAACGTCCCACTCGTGCGTGCGCGCGCGCGCGTCACTCTTCGGAAAAGCGCCTCGGTTTAATTACCCGCTCGACGCCGGGCGCATTGAACGATTCTAGCCATTACTCTCTCTTTCACTTTGTATTTTAACGCAACGTCAATAATAAATTTCCTACTTGATATTGTATTTGACGTGCATTCGCGCACGCGTGCGCGCATGCACATACACTAAGGGCGCTATTACTTTTCGCATGACGCGCGCTCTCGAGTCTTCCTCGACGCGACGAATGTAATAAAATCTCGAGGTATATGTGCTTTTGTGTATGTGTATGTTGAATAAATCAGTGAAGGCCATCAATGACAAGCTAAAGAGCGACGCGCAGAATCTGAACGAGCCGGCGACGATTTATACGGGGCCACCCGTTATAAGGGTTACCCTGGCCAGCGTGGAGGAGACCTCGATGCTGCTGAGCCGTGGTTTGGATTTTTATGGGGCCACATATTTCCCCACCGAAACGCCCCATCCAGCCGCTCAACCCCTCGCCAAATACAAAAACAACAGGTGGGAAGTGAATTCGTGTGTGCTTTCGCGAGCGAGCGATACCACGCGACGGCTGGCTGGCCGGCCGGCCGGTCGCGGCAAAGTACGCGCGTGTGATTCATCGAACGGCAAATTCGCGGCTGTGTTAAAAATTACGCACAACGATATCGCTCCGTACCGATATTTATTACCTGATATTTATTAACTATCGTTTACGCGCGCGCGCGCGCGCGCGAAACCGCGTCGACAATTGCCGAAGAGCGCGTATATACGGGATTGCGCCGCTTGTTTAAACGCCCGTTACTTCCGAATTGTACGCGGCTCGCTCGTTATTAATTCGGCAACGTGCGACATGATTTCGCCGCGAATTCTGCCGCTGATTTTGCCGCCCGATACGATTAGGTTTAGCTGCCCGACCGAGCTGATGCACGCTCGTCCGTCTCTCCGAATCGCGTTGCACGATGCAAATGCGTACGCATAGACGAGTTGATCTCTTTACACTTATCAGATACGGAGTTGGTAGAAATTTTCAGATACACACTGTTACTTGTGAATATTCATGCACAGATGAAACGGTATCAAACGACAAGTGTCGCGATTCGTCAGCGTTACCGAAGCGTTACGGTTTAAATTTCAAACGTTCCAAACTACTGGTATTAATTTCACGGCAACACACACACTCTCTCTCTCTCTCTCTCTCTCTCTCTCTCTCTCTCTCTCTCTCTCTCTCTCTTTCTCTCTCTCTCGGAAGAATGACGACGGCGGCGCCATTACGCGTGCGATACGCTCTTCTACTTTGCCGTAATATCTTTAATGGAACATTGCCAATAAAACACAAAAGGTTGGCGGACATTAGGGAGAAACGGATCGTTCCGAAAGGAGGCACGAAAAAAGAAAGAAAGAAAACGGGAGAGGGAGGAAAGTGTGAGAGAGAGAGAGAGAGAGAGAGAGGGGAACTCCTTTCACGTGTTTCGCCATTGCAGATGGATCGAGCTGGCGTCGATCGGCGCGGGACAAAGAGTGAGGGACCTACTTCCGGTCTTTGACAACGCGGGCTTCAACAAATTGCCACCTCCGGCGAGCCGTGTAATAAAACCGCAAAGAAACTGACACGTCCCGCGTCCACCCCCCCTTCGAATTCTTCGGCGGCCGGCGCGATCGATAGCGCGACGAATTGAGGGAGGCCGTCGCGAGGACACGACGCGACCCGACACTACAAACGCAGAGATATTACTACCTCGATCGAAATTCCAACTGGTGACACGAGGATGGATCCATCTTGGATGATTTCGACGCGATTTCGACCCCCCGTCGGCCCCCCGGCGACGTCTGAGAAAGCGAAGATATCATCCTAAAACATCCCGTCGCGTTGTCATTTCATTGAGTCGGACGTGTACGACTGCTTAAATTCACGCTCGAGGAGCACGAAAAAGTGTATGCGATCCGATTTATACACATACTTTACACAATTTTGCAAAATTTAAGATAAAGTTAAATGAAGCGTTTGTGAACAACGACAACGCAACGGATTAAACGATTCACGCTCGTATCAATAATCGTTGCTTGGGAATTGTTGCACGTGAGTCACTCAGACTCGAATTCAGGATTAGATCCGAGTTTCCCGAGTGAAATCGCGATTACAAATACACGCGTGTATCAAGCGATTCAAGTGGAAAACTCACCTCCAACTCCATATTCAAAGCCGAGCATATCTCTCTCTCTCTCTCTCTCTCTCTCTCTCTCTCTCTCTCTCTCTCTCTCTCTCTCTCTCTCTCTCTCTCTGTAGGCAAATTTCAAATAACGATTATCAATGCGAGCCTGAACGAACTCTCGATGAAATTATTCGATTTTACCTTTATTTGGAGACTAAAGTTAATTTCAACTCTCTACGCGTTTACGCGTCGACTTCAACTTCGTCCCGTTGAGTGTAACGCGACAAAAGGAAAAAGAAAATGAAGAGACACGAGGATGAAATGCAAATTCCCGATTGCACATCTCTCAGGCGCCAGGGGAACGGCCCCGGACCCCGAGAGGAGGAGGACCGACAGAGTGTCGAACGTAAAACGCGCGAGGAGAGAGCACGTTTTTGCACAGGCTCACGACCGGCAGCGTGCCGGTTCGCAGGTCGCAACGTGACTTCTGACCCCGTCCCCGTGCAGTGATGGTTCCTATTTTTCCATCGGCGGAAAGGTCAGCGCCGCCGTGTATCAAGCGCAATATATGAAATTACCGTTCCTATCAGTATCACCTACTTTCGCGGCCAGTCACGCGACTAACATTTTTATCCTAATGCACCGGCTCGATTACACCGAGAGAAATTAATTCGCTAGCACGCCGATAACAAGCCAAGACCCGACCACGACGACGCAAACCTCGACCGAGAGCAGCCCCTCGTTGTTATCGTCGTCGTCGTCGTCGTCGTCGTCGTCGTGCACGACGAGAGAATCGCGAAAGTGTGCGTCGTTTATTTACGAACCGTAAATCCCCGTGCCCGTCTTTCTCGTTCTCGTCGTTCCCGGCGAAAGATCGCCCGGTGAACTTAACGAGGAATTCGTCGTCCCTCCCCCGCCCTTAATTTCTCTCGCGATACTTTGTCGAGGAGACACACACACGCTCGCGCGGTCGGTCGGGAAAAGCAGAAAACGCATCGCGCTTTTATCACGCGATCGGCGGATTTATCGGGGTGTTATCGACCGCTTGCGCGTCGCGTTTAGAAGCTTCCGTTGTTGTTACGACGGGTTTCGCCGCCTAGACATCTTCACCGCAGCGCGAGTGCAAACGCGCGGGCGTATACTCTTGGGATGTAAAAATTCCCTGTCCCCAATTCTTTCTCCCCACACGCAGTCGGGAGGTTGCGGGGGATCGCTGATGATAACAAAACTGCGTGTAGACACGGTTCATCTATTTTTCTAACGATTTTAATATTAACGACGGTACGATATCTCAATCCGAAGACCGGTATTCATGTACAACTTGTAACAACAGAGTCTTAATAATATAATAATAATAATAATAATAATAATAATAACAACAGCAATAAATATAAATACATGTATGTAAGATTGCGTCCTTGAGGCAATCCGACGCGAATCTCCGAAGCCGCTGCTGCACTTTAAAGTTCATCAATGTGACGTTCGGCTGCATCGAGTCGCGCGATTAAAGAATAAATTGCACGTGTATCGCAAATTTCCCGCGTTTGCTTTCTCACTCTGTGTTCTCTATCGCGCCGATCCGCGAGCGAGCGCAAAATTCCCCCGTCCTTCCTGTTGATATTTTTCGATAACACCTAACAAGCATGTGTGCGTAACAAATGAAGCGTGTACAACGCTAAAAAGATAAAATATTCACAAACGACGAACGACCGTGCGTTCTTCGCGCGCCGTGGCGCGCATCGTACGTCTGAATTTATGCAAAGAAGCGTACGTAATTACAAACGGGATTTGTCGCGGGGCGGCGGGGTGCACGACGAGAGGGAAGGGCGGAGGGAAAAAAATTGCGTTCCGCGCGCGGACGGGAGAATAAATTGGGGGAAAATGGTTTTCACCTTCTGCATTTCGAGTGAATCGAGCAACGGTCGGCGTGCGTTCGTGTATGACGCCGTGAGCGTTTTTATTACAAGCGGCAATTCAATAACGATGAAATTTACTTTGTGCATGCAACGCGAGCGAGTGAGCGCGCACGTATATATGTATGTGTGTGTGTGTGTGTGTGTGTGTGTGTGTGTGTGTGTGTGCGTGCGTGTGCGTGCGTATGCGCGGAGGGAGTGCGAGCGCTTATTAGAATATATATTATGCCAGCCGCGTTATGTAACTTGTAATATTCCGTTATATAAACGTTCCGTCGCAATTACGTAATGCCGTTGGATGGGACGTACTTGATGGCGGATCGTGATATATGCGTCCGGCCGTGCCGTTCGCGTAACGACGTTATTGCCTCCCTCCTCTGCCCCTCCCCTCGTCGCCGCCCCTATTAGAAGAATCACGATCCGTACCGATGTCGCGCACTTGTATCACTTTCGTGCCGCGCTTAGCTGAGGATTCTTCTCCGCGTTATACTCGCGTTATTATCGCGTTGTGTGCGTCAAGAGCGCGGAAGAGAGGGGTATTAGACGGGGTCGAGATGAGATTTTTTAACGAGCGAGACTCTCCTCGATCCCCGCCCCCTGCCCTCCTCGCGCCCTGTCCGTCGTTCAGGTAGCGCGTACTTTCAACATGAAGTGTGTTCGGGGAAATCGTTACGCCGAAATATACGATTCGTTCATTTTGAGAGTCGCCGTGAGAAATGCTGGGGATTACCGCGAGACACGGTCCAAGATCGTCTTATCACCGCACAGTGTGTTACGTCATACGCACACTTCATAGTCGCTTCGCTCGAGATTAATATCACTCGCGTGGCGAATCGAGCTCTGAGCGCTTCGAAGTGCGCGGCGAAGTGCGACGCGGGGAAAGGGCGAGGATAATTCGACTCGACCCGCCGTGTTAAACGGTCGCGCGAGTTTCATTTTTGATTATTTTCATCGCTGGCAAGTGGCGCGGGGGGCGTGGGAGAGCGGCTCTTAACAAGGCGAGACTTTATCAGGAGGAACGAGCTCGTGGAAAGAGAGAAACTTGGCCGCGATGAGTGGTGGTCACAGGAGGGTATAAGTAATTCTCCGAGAATGCTATTACGTCCTGCTGCGCCTTCGTCGGGGGACGAGGGCTATTTCAACGCGTAATATGAGAGAGGGTGGATATGGGAGGTGGTAAATGTCAGCTATGTATGAAAGAGAGTGCCGCCATAGAGCGAACGTGGCGGCGGACGGAGCGCTGGGTTATCCGCTGAGCGGCTGACGGAGGGCGGGGGTGGAATATCCACGATGAAGCCGGTGAGGGAGAAACAAAGAAAGAGAGAGAGAGAGAGAAGGAAAAAAGAGAGACGAGAGAGGAGGAGAGACTCGGGGGACCAACAATAAATTGTATGTGTCTTCTGAAAAAATCTCAGGTAACTTAAAATATCGTACGTTTTTTGTCCTAAACATACGAGGGAGAATAAACGCGCGGGGGTGAGAACGAGCGAGAGAGGAAGAGAGAGAGAGAGAGAGAGAGAGAGAAGAGAGAGGAGAGAGAGAGAGAGAGAGAGAGAGAGAGAGAGATAGAATACCATCTTCGTAGTCGCGGATATTTTTCGGGATGATTTTGGAACTTAACGCGAGGTCACGCGGAACAACGGACGCGTCCGCGCGATATTCGCTCGCGCTCGGCCGTGTAGTAGACGTAATTGCGAGATATTTATGCGGCTATGATAATATAACATCGATAGATTTAATAATACAAAGTTAGTAATGTACTCTTTAATCAAATCATGTAGCGGGATACACTTTATATCCTGTAATAACATATCCGAAATTATACGCGCTTATATTTTGCCGGTAAAATTCCATATGTCTGTTAGAATTTAATCGGAATTTATGACTTTCATTAAAATAGTCACGCGTACGCTCGTGTGCCGCTATGTTGTACAGCTTTGCTTGTTTACTTGTTTATTTATTCGTTCATTTATTTTATCACTTATAAATGATGAATACGATTTGCACACTGCGGAAGAGACGAGCGGGAGAAATTGCTTTTTGTCTAAGTGCACTGCGGGGAAAAACACGCGACAGCAACTGCCAATTTGCGGACTTGATTTTCTCGACGCTACGCAACGATGACGCAACGGCTATGCGAAACTCGGAGGATTTTTAGGACGAGTTAAAATGAGGAACCTAGTTTTGTTAATAGCGCTAACTTTATTTCCGAGGACAAAGCCGACGGAGCGGGCAAGCTTCGTTCGCCAACAAGTGCCATTATCAGCGAGAGTCTCTCGACTCTCGGTAACTATAGACTAATTTCGCTCGAAGAGTCGGCTCGGACAGTTAATCGGTTTTTTAGCTCCCGTCCGCAAATTTCAATTTTACGCGCAAAGAAATTTCCGGAAGTTAAGCGCGATGCATAATTGCGTTTTCGCTCCGCCGTAGCGACTCGCTGAACTCGAAGAAATACGCGCGATCGCAGCCGTATAATCCGCGAGGCTCGCCTTTCGCACGCATTAACCTCCGAAACGCGACGGGTGAAAGCGCGCTTTACCTGCGATGGATCGGTGATTGCGCGAGATGCATGAACGCGATTTGACGCGCTGGAACCTGAAATCAAATTCCCCGCGCGACCAAACTGAGTTTCCTCGCGCGCGCGCGCGCAAACGACGCACACATGAAAAAAAAAAAAAAGAAGAAACGAACGACAAAATTTCTCAATTAACCTCCCGCGCTTCCATTTTTTTTCCATCGCGCTGTTTTCCCCGACCGAAGGTCCCTTTTCCTCGCGTTTTCTAAATTCGTCGAAAACTTGGCGAAAAACCGTGACTACTCCAGGCCGCTAATAAGAAACGGTTTCTCCGGTGGAAAAACGCAACGACCGGATAAGCGGAGTGGTAAGACGAAACGACGTCTCAGCGCGAAGCAACGAAGAATGATGCGACTCGGCCGATGCGAAATCACTGTTGAGCTCGCTCTCGTTCGCCGGAACGAAAAGCGTGTCGAGTCGATTAAAAATGCATGCGGGCCGTGCGCGCGCTAAACAGCGGATACTCGAGAGCGGGCCTCGGGGGATCAGCCTCGATACTGCCAAGCGGAGGGAGAAATAGAGAAGGATGAGAGCAAAGGACGAGAGACAGGGCGAGCTAGGCAGAGAGAAAGAGATCATCCGACACACGTCTATCAAG